CCAAATCACAAAAGCAGAAAGAACGGACTTAGGAATGGACATTTGGTTAAAAAGGAAAGTGAACGTTAACTAAAATCATGTTAGCAATATATTTCCGGAAGGCACATTCTCCAGTCTAGATCTGAAAATGCGCAACAGGAAAGAAGAAACAAAGTTTTCCTTTTCTCTGGCATTCTAGGTTCATCCTTTTCTGAAAACATTGGGGTTTTCCAATACTTCCACGGATGGATTTTATCTGGGGGAGGATGGGCAGTTGGAAGCCAATTGGGATTTTTTGCTGACCTCCACAGCGTGGCCCAACAACTCAATTGTTACTCAGAAAATTGGGAGTCTAGAGAGACAAACCTCCCCAGAGCAAAAGTTCAGTATTGAGAGAGAAGCTGCTGCAGGGATGAACCAGGTGAGCGAAAGCTGGTTTTCCACAAAAGATCCTTCACCATCCGGAGTTTCTGCAGCCTATCAGCATTAGAGAGATCCTTTCTCTTCCGCTGATTCTTCTCCTCTGAATAGATCACTGTGTCTATTGTCAGAATCCCGGAATCTCAATTTGAGAAGAGGAAATAAAACTCGGGTTCGTGGGAAAGATCAAGCATCCAGACCATCTAGGCTGTATTGCATAACCCAGGTTCCCACGGTAAACTCTCACGATAATGCATGCATTACTGGGCAGGCAGAGGTAAACTCTGCTGCAAAGCTTCATTACAAATACAGGGTTTTTATATCCTCCCAGGAACAGGGAAATTGATGACAGAATGCAAAGATTACAGTAAGGTTCTGATGTCATCACATACAGAACAGATAAAGGAATGTCAGTCAATCATACAGTAACAATGAGATTACAATATTTCTAATTGCCTGTATTGACACTTTAGTTAAGTAGCTTGAACCCATCTCCAGGTCTGCTTAGACATGTAAATTCAAGCTGAGAAACTATGCATGAACTCAGGACTCTTATCTAGACTCTAGACATTCTGAATGACCCGGGCACTTGAAGCCCTCTGGACTAGGAAGATACTTACTTGTAAAACTGAATTCCAACAATGATTATTTAATCATTGTGAAGGTATACAATGTAAATTTGGACTAAATGGCCTGTGTACTGTAGCTTACAGCTAAAGGTGAGGGAAAGGCATGGGGGAATGCCATTTTAAACAGTGACAGCTTGGTTTTGAGAAGGAAGACAGGATTTGATCCCACAAGGCAAAAGCACACAGAAGTAATGCTTTTCAGACAGGATTTATCCAAATTTTCCCAACACTATACATCCCAGTTTCTTTCCATGACGTCACTCCTGCATATTTATCTTGACAATTCAACTTGGAGAGTTCCAAAATGGGAAATAATGGGGATATGGGAGGAGTTAGGAATTTGGTGTATTTATGCCTCATTGGACCAGTTCTCTAGTGAACAGTCTGTGTTTTTTAACTTTATTTCTTCAGAGATTTTGCAAATATAAAGAAGAGTAACAGAATGAATATCCTTTGGTCCTTCTATCTGTGTCCTTTTCAAGAGGCATTATTCATTTTTATGAATAATGAATTTTATGACTTTAACAGTTTGAGTTATTTGAAATTCATTTTTAATCCTGATAAGTTACACATCTTCAGTATGTATTTTAGAGTTTCTATACTCTTAACTGGATTTTCAAGGGAAAGAACCTTAAATTGTGTGTGGGTGTTATGCTTATCGTGTGTATTTGTAATCCTTCTTCCAAAAATATTACTATTTTATCTGATGGAGGCCGCAAGCAGCTTCTATAGCTGGAGCAAATATTAATAGGAAATTCAGACAACCCTGCCTTGTACCTTTATAGAATTCATTTTTTTCAGAATTCAGTCCATTAAATGTCACTGGAGAACATGAAACTTTGTATACTTCCATTATAACTGTAACAAGCATCTCATCCATATTCATTATTTTCATAAGCTGAAGCACATGCTTCTATTCTAGAGAATCAATTGGTGTAATGCCTGTAGTGAAAGCACAGCCATGTTTTGTTTTGAAAGAAAGAACAGAACAGGTAAAAGGGGAAAGGGGCAGAGAAAATTTACTTTCCATAGATTTCATCTGTTGCTGTCAGGGGTTAGGTTCCCCTCTCCTCTCTTTCAAGCAACAGACCAGTCATTGGCAAAAACTCTTTATTTTCATTGTATATCCTACAAGCTATAGCCAGCAAAGAAAGAGTCTTTGAGCATGCACAGAGTGGTCACTGAACACAAACTAGAAACCATTTCTGAGTCACTTCCTTTTGAGTAACCCTGGATCCCACCCCTCTAGGAGTGCCCCGAGGGAGGGAGGCAAAGTTCCAAGCTGTATGCAGACCCTCAAGCTGGCTAGCCCTTCTCTCCCGATGCCACGCCATGGGGTCAAGGATCAGGCAGGTTTCTCTGGTTCCTCTCCCATGTCCCCTCCAGGCCCTTCCAGACCTCGTTGGTTTCTGGGGTCTGTCTGAACACCTAAGATCTTTTTCTCCACCATAACTATGTCTCCATTCCCCAGCCTCACCATTCTCATTCACAGAATTGGTATTACCCTGACCCCAAAAGGCACACAGAAACACGGCCTCTTTCATCCCTAACAGACACATGCCTTCCCAGGATGAACGCTTCGTGATCTGTATGAACCTGTTTGTTGTGAGGTCCTTCAATCTTTGAGCTAAAAAGGTCTCGATTTTGTAATTCCATGTGCAGTCCCCCCAGTCCCACCTGGAAGTGAGGCCAATGTAACTCTGATTGCTGCAGAAACCTGTACCCTTCTCAGCTCCAATGAGAGACCAAAAGCACATGCTCCTGAAGCCAACTTTTTCCTTCCCCAACCCTTATAGGTCTTTCCAAACATTTCCCAATTATAATAAGGTGAGTCATAAGCTTCATTATCAACTAATCTACCAGGATAAGAGCACAGCACAGTACAAAAATATAATTCTTAAAGTCTAATCAATCATGCCGCTCCTGTTAGAGATGACAGTACAGCATCTCGAAACAAGCTCTTAGGAAAGCAAATTCACGTGGCTTCAATAGTTTCTTCTCCCTTCTGATTTCTTTACATCCAGTTGCCTCTCATCTCATGGAACTTCTCTTTTAACTTGGCCCTTCTGTGGATCCATGGCAGGCACACAAATTTTTAACTCTTTACAGCTTCTCTGTAGTAGTTTTAAGGAATATTTTGCCATACAGTCAGTTTTAAAGGGAATCTCCACACCTATTGAATGCCATGGTTTCTTAGT